GACAACCTACGGAATGGGAAAAAAATTTTGCAAATGAAACCAACAAAGGCTTGATCTCCAGAATATATAAGCAGCTCATACGACTCAATAAAAAACAACCAAACAACCCAATCCAAAAATGGGCAGAAGACCTAAACAAGCAATTCTCCAAGGAAGACATACAAATGATCAATAGGCACAAGAAAAAATGCTCAATATCACTAATTATCAGAGAAATGCAAATCAAAACTGCAATGAGGTATCACCTCACACCAGTCAGAATGGCCATCATTCAAAAATCCACAAATGACAATGCTGGAGAGGCTGTGGAGGAAAGGGACCCCTCCTACACTGCTGGTGGGAATGCAGTTTGGTGCAGCCACTATGGAAAACAGTATGGAGATTCCTCAAAAGACTAGGAATAGACTTACCTATGACCCAGGAATTCCACTCCTGGGCATCTATCCAGAAGGAACCCTACGTCAGGATGACACCTGTGCCCCAATGTTCATAGCAGCACTATTTACAATAGCCAAGACATGGAAACAGCTTAAATGTCCATCAACAGATGACTGGATAAAGAAGAGGTGGTATATTTATACAATGGAATACTACTCAGCCATAAAAACTGACAACATAACGCCATTTGCAGCAACATGGATGCTCCTGGAGAATGTCATTCTAAGTGAAATAAGCCAGAAAGAGAAGGGAAAATACCATATGAGATAGCTCATATGTGGAATCTAAAACAAACAAACAAACAAAAAAACAAAGCATAAATACAAAACAGAAACAGACTCATAGACATAAAATACAAACTTGTGGTTGCCAAGGGGGCGGAGGGTGGGGAGGGATAGACTGGGATTTCAAAACTGTAGACTAGATAAACAAGATTATACTGTATAGCACTGGGAAATATATACAAGATCTTATGGTAGCTCACAGAGAAAAAAATGTGACAATAAATATATATATGTTTATGTATAACTGAAAAATTGTGCTCTACACTGGAATTTGACACAACATTGTAAAATGATCATAAATCAATAAAAAATGTTAAAAAAATTAATTCATGTCAAAAATCCTTCAGAAGACAATTTCCTAGGGGGAAAGGTGAAGAGTGGGTAATTCCCTGTAAAGCATTTCTTCTGCTGGATTTGAGACTCCAGGAGGGCAATGACTGTCTATCCTGTTTACTCCTATTCCCCTTTCCTTGCCTGGCACATACAGGAAAATTCGTAAGAATGAATGAATGAAGCATTCATGTATAAATATATGAACTGGAACACTCAACATTAATGATAAGGAACAACTTCCTTCTTTTGATAAATATTTATTTGTACATTTCCAACTGGGTGGATTTAGCTCCATGAAGCCACTGCTATTGCTCAGAAGAAGTTAAACCTCCTGATAATCACAACAGCTACATTTACAGAACATTTAATCTGGGTTGAATGTTTCACAGATGCTATCTTATATCCTTCTTTCAGATAGTATCTTTCTTTCAGATAGTATCTTTCACAGATACTAATCCTTATAGCAATCTTAAAGAGGCAAGCATCCCTCCTCCCATTTCACAGATGAGAGAATTAAACCTTAAAAAATGAAGTATCTTTCCACTTCTAAGCAGAAGCAGCAGAATTTCAGCCCAGATCTGTCTGCATCCAAAGTCTGTGCTCTTAAACACGCCACCCTTCTGTTCTGAGTTGGGGTGACAGGAGATGTGGGTACAATCAAACACTATGACCAGAGAGCTGGAGATCACAGAGACAAATGATACGAAGTATCAAGGAGCTAATTACAACTGTATGAGGACGTGTTCAGAGCCAGAAGGGAGGAGAGAAGGCAGCAATAGAGATGTAGGGGTTGAGGTCACTCTTGGAAGGCGAGCGCTATGTGTCAAATAAAAGAGCCACTCTGAGAGTGGAGGCTGAAGAGGAGGCATCTCTGTGGCCCCTAAGCACACAAGTGGGGGTGGAAACTGCTGAGGAGGAAACAGTCAGTATACATGACCGAGCAGCTTGTAGGTAATGCAGCTGGAAGCAAACTACATGAGACGAGCCCACACAGCGCCCTGCACCCAGGCCTCATGAGTGTCCTGCAAACAACTTGCTTGCATCTCCTGCAAGCCTGTGGCCTCTGTTTTCTAGCTCAGCCAGCCACACCCTGTGAGTCACGGTCCCTCATATCTGCTCCTGGCCAGCTGTCTGCAAGGATCCAAAAGCAGGGCAGATGAAAGATGAAATTACCTCTCTGGGTTTCAGCACAAGCTGAGCCAAATGTAATCAATGATAGGGAAACCTCTGGAATTCAGGCTCAGTTTGGAGAATCACCACGAAGTGGATTACAGTTCCAGAGAGCTTATGTGACCCACCTCAGCACCACGGGCAAGAACAGGTGGATCTGAGGCCATGATTAACAGGACTACCCTCTAGGTGGGCCATAGAACACTCGCCTGGTGGTCCTTGGCCCTTCTCTGAGTCACAGAGCTGGTGAGGCCATTGTTTCTCCCTCCCTACTTCCCATGAAAACATGGCCTGAAGCCGCCCTTGTCAGGCCTGGTGGTTTGAGGAGCAGGAGGAGACTCAATGCATGTATCATGAATGTGTAGGAGTGTGTGCATCTGTCAAGCTCTGTGCAACATGGTGAACCCTTGCTCCCCAGAAGTGACACTTGGCCTCTAGTAAGTATCTTATGATCAAATGTAATGCTACATGCATAGGGGAAAGGCACCATACCCATATGTCAAGCCCAGTACTAGCGATTTCATATGGAACCATCTGGTGTAGTTAAGCTCACAACACACCTAGGAGGCCAGCACTAGGATCATCCCCATTTACAGATGAGAGAACTGAGGCAGAGCAAGGATACACATGTTCAGTCCTGCTACAACACTTGTTTGTTC